ATTTTTTTCTTAATAATGTTAAGATGCAATTATTCTACATAACACTACTACATTGTTACACAAGTGAATGGGAAATTGCTACAAACTGTATGCAAGTATAAAATTCTCTAATTCAATACTAGAAAAAGAAGCACTCTTTTGGCAAATCACACTGAGTATTGTGTAATCAGTGTAAAGATTTTCAGATTTCTGTAGTATTTTGACGAAGAAAATTGTTCACATCACTTAAATATATAATGATAATTATCAATGATCAATATATCTTCTTTATTATTCATTTTCTTTTTTTTTTATTTCTTGAATCAATGTTTTTCATCACAAAAGTATTTTAAATTACCATTGTATCTCATTTATATGAAATATTAGATCTCCACATCCTGCTCTACAAGAGCTGAACGTCAAGACGAAGCCTTTCGAAAGTGTCCTCATGCTGTATAACGTGACCCATAAGACAGCCTGGTGTATATTGCTATAGTTAAAGTATTTTAGTGGAAACAATAATAGACTCCGTTATAGGTTCATTATGGGGCTCCAAAGACACAAGTCAAGTGATATCGATCAGATATACATTGTAGCACCAACGGAGAAAAAAAACGAGTGTATAATCTTGGATATTTGTGTCTTGAATTAGACATAGGGTTAACGTCAAGTACTAAAATGTAAATCTCTGTTCCCTAATTGACCCTTGTGTTTAGTCTTGATCGAATGTAAAACACATAGAGTCAATGATCCATCACACGAAACAGTGTCACTATAATAGTACGGGAAATTCTTTCTCTTTTTCTCTTTATATAAATGTACAATTTTTACTTGTTTAATTTGGATGTTAAAAACCAGTTGATATGAAATCATTCCTGACCTGAAATACGCCCGGTCTGTCCAAAGGTATATTGTACTCAAGGTAAAATCTAAAGGCGTATTGTACTCAGGTAAAGTTTAAAGTTACGAGGGTTATTGGAAAAGTTCACAGACACATTGATTTAAGAAAAATTTAAAATATGTTGTACTCAGCTATAATCTAAAGGTATGTTATATTCAGATAAAGTCTTAAGGTATGTTGTACTCAGATAACGTCTAAAGGTATGTTTTATTCAGATAAAGTCTAAAGGTATGTTGTACTCAGATAAAGTCTAAAACTATGTTGTACTCAGGTAAAGTCTAAAACTATGTTGTTCTCAGGTAAAGTCTATAAGTATGTACTCAGATAAAGTCTTAAGGTATGTTGTTTTCAGGTAATTTCTAATGGTATGTTGTACTCAAATAAAGTCTAAAGGTATGTTTTATTCAGATAAAATCTAAAACTATGTTGTACTCAGGTAAAGTCTAAAACTATGTTGCACTTAGGCAAAGTCTAATGGTATGTTGTACTCAGATAAAGTTTTAAAGTATGTTGTATTCCGGTAAAGTATAAAGGTATGTTTTATTCAGATAAAGTCTAAAGGTATGTTGTACTTAGATAAAATCTAAAGGTATGTTGTACTCAGGAAAGTCTAAAGGTATGTTGTACTCAGATAAAATCTAAAACTATGTACTAAGGTAAAGTCTAAAGGTATGTTGTACTTAAGCAAAGTTTAAAGGTATGTTGTACTCAGGTATAAACGTGAAGACTTTACCTGAGTTCACCAGACAGACTGAACATTTCAATTTTTTTTTAATTTATCACAGAAGCAAAATGCTTTACAATTCTTCACCACTGATATGTATCCAATTCATGTATAAAATTATTCACACTTAAAAGCTATAAGATTGTAAAGTTTTTGTTAACGTGAATTACTCAGAAATATTTATGAAGGGAACCACCTTTTCAAAAAAAAAAAAAAAAAAAAAAAAAAAAAGACATGTAAGATAAATGTATGTATCTAGCAAGCTGGTGTCAATTTATTAATGTGTTTAATCTCATAAAATGAAACTTTTATCAAAGATAGATAAATTAGGTTCTACAGAATGAACTGTTTAGATTTACATGAACCCGAGAAAAAGTGAGAGCACTTTTTTTTTTTTTCTTAAAGTCATTACGTTGGCAAGCATCTTTCAAGCACCTGCCTCCTCCTTTCCTTTTGTTAGAGGGGAAGTGTTCACGAAACATTCATTACCACGCATAATAAAATTTTGCTCTTGCGTGATATCGAAAATAAATGTTTGCATGTGTTTTATATGAAATATTTCAATAATTTGATGGTTAAATTAGAAAAACAATACGGGTGCATTTGCTAAACATATTGTTTCTGAAAGAGTCGCAAATCTGGTTTTCAAATATACAAGATATGATTAGCGTCCATAAATCTTAACAGGCGTATTTGGCAACGGAATAAATGGTTTCGAATGCTTTGGGATTTAAGACAATCTACAGCTTTTTAAGACGTTATAATTTTTATTTCTAGTATTCGAATGAAAGATGCAGGGAATATAATTAATACAAAATATAACCATGTGTAAATTACCTTAAACCAGTCCTTGATATAACATGTTGATTATCAATATAATAGCTTTTTAAATGCAAAATGTGACCTTTAGTTACTTAACCTGTCTTTCATTATGCCAAGGCGAAATATATAACAAAATAAGGCGAAACTTAAATCCTTTTTGTAACACAAAATTGAGGCAAAATGCTAAACACTTATTCAATTTTAACAAAAAATGTCTTAGGTATTAAATATTTCTGGTTTCAATTTAAGAAATCAAAGTTTTATTAATGATTCACAGAAACCCTTTTGTACTGCATTATTTAGAATTATACTTGCCATGTTGTCCAAGTATATTCCATTAATTGGTTATACTTGTGTTATTTCTGTCGATATAATATTTTCTACATTCCTCTTTTTAACACCATAGACAAATGCTTCTTGAATATAAATGGAAGTCGGTTTTCATACTCTGTGATTAGTCACTTCAAATCATTTTGATTCTCTACATCTTCAGCTTTATCATCGTCAATTTTCCCTGTTTTTGTAGTATTATTGCACAATCACAGTTTATGATTCGATAATTAAGAAAACATTGGAGTACCACCAATTTTTGAACCGAGACAGGCTTTTAACAAATAAGCTTACGTCCATGGCTTTCAACAATCTTTTTTAGTCGGCATTTCGCTAATTCTGGTAAGAAGGCATTGGGTGCTCATCCCAAGAAATTTTGGTGATGTGTAAAAATTTTGGAAGTTATAACTTACTTAAACAATGACTTTTTACAATTCATTTTACAATATTGGAAAATAAATTTATTTATTTCAATTAAATGGACGACATTTATAACAGACTAGGGTTTATCACAGCATTATAGATAAAATATATTTCATTTTTCTTTTTTATATCTCTATATAAAATGTCAGAACAAAATATAAATCGTGTAATTAATCGTCATAGGAATTTACCTTGTTCACAGCTCTCAGTTGTTACAGTCTCACTGGTATGCATGTTTTATTTCGTTTAAATTAACAGAGGTAAACTATGGATTGGTAATAATGCTATTTTAAATCAAAAAGAAAAACCCAACAAAACCAACTTTTCATATCAATATCCAAAACATCAATTATTGCAGATGTGGGTATTACCAAGCACATAATGCTTGGGGTTATTTCGGCTACATACATGTAAGAATTATGCATTGATTAAACTGAATAAAACATAAATAAACTGGGATGCATTTAGTCTAAATAACCCCCACGCGTTATCACACGTTGTAAATCTCACATTTACAATGTAACTGAAATAGGTTGACAGATTATTTGTGAAGACAAAAATTCAAACAGATCACGGGTCAAACAGTTCTCTGGGAGAAGATTAATCTCTAAAAATAAATAAGTAAATAAATAAATGAATGAATAAATAAATAAATAATAAAGCATAATCAGTAGTTCTAGTCAGACCTTAAAAAGAGCATTTTTGTCAATTTGTGTTAAATTACAAATTTCTTTTCACATTTTAAGAGGTCGTTAAAAATTAAATGATAGATGATAAATTATAATGATTTTAAAAATCAAAACTAAGGATTACCTCCCTCATGCATTCAAGACCAAAAACTTTAGTTGATTGTAAAATTCTGCACAACAAATGATTCTATTGCAAATTGCCAGCATAAATAAATATTTCTAAACCCATTTTTATATTAAGAAAAAAAGGAAAGTTATTAGAAAATTACATTTTGGTCTAAGTCGTAAGTTTTGTTTTGTTTTGTTTTTTGTTTTTTTTTTTTGGTAAAACGGGGCACTGATCCTTCGACGTATATGGCTCGTCTTTGGCACCTTTTTCAGCTCTTCAAAGGTTTTTTTTATTTAAATATTTTGGATTTCAAACGTTTTGGCGTGAGCATCACTGAAGAGACACAATTTGTCGAAATGCACATCTTGTGCATCAAAATTGGTACCGTATATGATTTAACTTGTAATGCAGTTATATTTTAGTCTTCATGAAATATGAAAATATGGAACAGCAATCAAGCTAAAAGGTCCATTGCAACAATTCAGATTTGGAGCACAGGAAAGACGAACCTCTAAAAACATCAGAAGTTGGATCAGGTGCCATGGAAGAGTAAGAAACACCTGTCTACAAGTAACACCCGCGGTGTGCTCATTGTCATGATCGGGTATACAGAAAAAAAAAATCTGTAGAAAATTCATTGTGAAATAATGGTCTAACACTTTGTATGAAAAAGTCAGTCAACATTTGACATAATGATAGATTGTATTTGCTGACAAGGTCATTATATATTGTAATGACCTTAGAATTTGCTAAATGTTGACTTTAAACAAAAGTGTTGATATTCTTGTTTCATCGACTTACTTGTCAATAGCATGTCTCGTTTTAGAAATTGTTCGTAAGTAGATCATGCTCTTGCTTATCGAACCAACTGGGAAACAAACTCCACATGCAGGTAATCTTTCCTTCATGATTTGTTTCTGACCAACAGAAATTGAAGTTTTCTTGAATTTATGTACTTTGAACATTGATGTTTTATTCTAATTCAGTACAATACAATAATAATTTAGATCAAAAATTTATTTGCTATAAAATCATTGTTAAAATAATAAAATGAACAACGCGAAGCAGTAAAAAGCACCCCAAATTAGCTGAAAATTTTTCCGCTTCGGAACTCACAGAACGTTTGCCTTTCGGACCTCCAACACTCGTTGTAAAACCTAGCGATGTTGCAGCCCTAGTAGTGGATTTCGTTGTCGTAAAAACGGATATGTCGTCATCGGGATGACGTATATGACACGTGAAGTCTGCGTCTCTGAATGACAATGATATTGATTGGTTAAGAATATTAAAGTACGCATCTGCAGCCTCCATAGAACACTGTAAAGCTGTAACAAGGTAAACACACTTCATATATTGGTTAGTTATTCTGAAAAAGAAAACAAGATTAATTTCACTTTGCATACAAAAATACAAAATACATATGGGAAAGAAGAAAGCTGTTATTGCGAGCCGAATTGAAATATTTCTTGAAACTGTTCAATGGTAAAAAAAACATTGCTAAGGTAACGTATGTAAAGGGGATGATATTGACATAGTATGTGTGCATCCTCTAAAAGATAATAAAATCTTATTGACACTATAATATGGTAATTTTTTTTTTTAAAAAGTGTCATTTAAAAGCTGTAATAATATTGTTCATATTTTACTGGCATATCTGTAAATTGTAATGTTCCTCCCGTCGTATTTGGTGAATTTCGTCTTGTCTTCTCTGATGACATGACTTGTACATAAACATTTGTCGACTATAACAGTCACGGTGGTATACGTAATCTGTCAATTAAAACATATCATAACAATAAACAATAAGTTATATTTTCATAAACCGAACCTTAATACTGAGTAAAAGTTAGACAATCGTGAAATACTCCTATACGAATTATGATGATGGTTATCTTTCTTGAACCTGAAGAAATATTGTCTATTCTTGTGTATAGCAATGCTAATTTATAACTGTGCAATAAATACCTTGTTTATATTTTCCACAAAGAGGAAGAAAGGCACGATATAACAGATGCATATTTTGGGTAGTGATTCTATCACAACCTTTTGTGATTGTCTGAGAACAAGTCGGATATTCACCAACCAATCTAAAATCCAATACTTTATATGTAGAACTAGCTTCTTTTTTTTACAAATATTTTATGATTGTTTTCTTATGCCCGTTAAAGTCAAGAATACGATATAAAAATTGAAGAATTAATGATGAAGATATTTTTTAAAGAGTTTATATTAAATATTAAGTCTGAATTTAATTTCTGTGGCTTCGCTTCAACAAATTAAGATCCTTATTCATTTTTGTTTCCTTTCTGCTATTTTTCTCCTTGTTTGGTAACTGTTGATCTATTCGTACTATTTACAGATAATTAGATGAATTGCATACCTGCATATGTCTACTAGTACTGTTTTGTTGTATGTCGTGTAAAATCCACCCAATGGGAGTATGTCGCTGACGTAATGTTGTAGACGGGAGACGGGAATGAGACAGGTCCCAGAGGAGGATACCGGGCAATCACTCAGTACACACTTCATCATATAAACTGAAAAAAGAGAAAGAGAATCAAAGGTATTTAATAAAACCAAACAATCAAACGAAACAAAATTAAAAAAAAAACATAGGAAAGAAACTCTCCTTAGTACCTTGTTATCTAGAGAAGAAGCCACAAAGTTATTCTTTAATTTACAAAAATATACTTGCATAAAATTGAGATTTAAAAAGCTCTGATAAGCAGATAATGTGACATAAACTAAACAAGCTGCTTGAGTGTTGTTTTATGTCCCATTCGAGAATTTTTCAAATATTTGAAATATTTTTTATGCTAACCTCCCCCCCACCACCACCACCACCCCTCGAAAATGAATCAGGGTGTAAAAGTAACTGCATTATTATATCTTTATTAAATATGTATGACATCCCTACAGTTCATTAGGGGGGTTTAGCAAAATAAAAAAAAAAAAATTCCAAATATTGAAGCACCTGTAATTTTTTTTTATGTTCGCCTTATATATATATATATATATATATATATATATATATATATATATATATATATATATATATATATATATATATATATATATATATTAGGGATGGCAATTTGTAACCGGTTAACCGGTTACTCGGTCGGAACGATGGTAATCGGTTAGAAAATCTGTAATCGGTTAGTCGGAAAAAAAAATTAAAATGGGTTTAAATTTCCTTAAAACACGATTTACAATGTTAAAAAACCCTGAATATTGATTAGTTATAACGTTTCCGCATTTAATTCGGCGGATTTGGAGGTAAATAATTTAATTAAGACTCTATTGAATTTGTTTGGGGTAATTGGTCACTTTGCGAAGTGTTAATTGCTGTTTAAATACCATGTTGTTACCCTGCCTGTCCTAATTATGATATTAATTAAATCTTTGTTGAGTTCTTTTTAATGATTGAAATGATTGCAATGTGTATCTTACCCCGTCTATCCTTCGCAGTTATCTATCAAATTATATTTTCAAACATTGTAAATTATTTCAGACTCGGTTTCTGTTTATGGTGACAATGCACAATGACCTTGTGTTGTAACAATATCAATTTCTGCGATATTTAAGAAATGTTTTATGGTCTCCTTTTTTTCTTGCCATTCGAAATTGAAATAATGTATAATATATAGCGTACTAATAAACATTAACGCCCTTTTCAGTTTTCCTGTGTATACAACTAAGAGTTTACTTGAAAAATAAAATATATGGAAAATGTGTATTTTGATACGATTAACCGATTAATAGGTCGGAACGTGTTTCGGTTAACCGATTAGCAATTCTGTATTCGATTGCCATCCCTAATACACACACACACACACCCTCACACACACACACACACACACACACACACACACACATATATATATATATATATATATATATATATATATATATATATATATATATATATATATATATATATATATATATATATATATATATATATATACACATGTGTATATATATGTAAGAAATGACAGGTTCTTCCACATATCGACCTTCCGTTCTGTCCTTTTGTCAGTATATATATTAATTAATGTCAGAGTAAGAAATGTAATTCGTATTATCCTACTTGCAGAAATGAAATTTTGTAAGGAGTACCTTAAGGGTGTTTGTATTAAGTTCATGTCGATTTAACTTGAGAGTAACATACTAGTTTTTTTTTGCTACTAAAACACTTAACAACGATCATCCTTTTAATGACAGATAACTTGTTTGTGAATAAATTAGACAAGCACAATGAATATGTTGTTTTATTTTTGACATTTATGCTAAGATAGACATTTACTATCAAATGACAAAAAAAAGTTTAACTTTGTGGCTGAGAGATGGCAACCCACAGAAAAATTACACATTATAATACTAAACTCAAATTTAAGCAACATCAGCATTGTTTAAAGGAGATTTTTTTGTCTTTCTAAGTCACACATCAAGCATACAATATAACATAAATTTCTGAGGAGCTGAGAAGAAAACAAGTTAACAATAAACTCAATAGTCGAAATCTATCCTTTCCAAAGAAGAAAGTGTCAATCACAGAAATTGAAAGGTTTGTATTCTGTGATATTTTAATGCCAAAGGACAGGAATAAAAAATCTTCTGTTTTAAGAATTTATGAGCTCTTTAATTATGGTGTCGACATGAGTGCAATTTTGATAGAGCAAAATAATTTATCACAGTGCATGTCTTATAACTAGTGCTATGAGAAAATCTTATCAAAATATTTAAATCTGCCCAATTTTACAGTACTGAATTATAATTTTTTTAAAGCTTTCAAAGAGAGGCAAATAAAAAGATGCTTATCTAAAACATTAAAAGGTATTTTCATTTTTCAACATTCAAGAACTTAATAATTTTTTTAATGGAAAAAATATATGAAATTGCCATTTATTATATATATATATATATATATATATATATATATATATATATATATATATATATATATATATATATATATACATATGATATTCAGATACATGTATATATTGTAATTGAACAAATCTGTTGATGTTTTCTCACAGATCCTATTTCCCGAATTGCCAACCCCTAGCAAAAGAGAAGTTGTCTATAACTTTGAAGCTTTTTACTTTTCAAAATTCTGTCATGAAAGACTGCAAGTTTAAAGATAATTTTATACAATGACCTTTTTGGCAAATATAGTCTATCGTAAGTCGAATGTTCAAACATATTGTTAGGCCATTATTTACACACTGAATTGTCGACGGATTTTTCCATTATTACCCGATCATGACAAGGAGCACACGACGGGTGTGACCGGCCGGCAGGGAATGCTCACTCCTCCATGGCACCTGATCCCACCTCTGGTGTTTTAGAGGTCCGAGTTTGCTCTGCTCCAAAATTTACATTGTTTAATGGACTTTTTGAGCTTGAATACTATTCGTTATCTCCATACATTCCGTTTTAGAGATCTCTGTTTGCTCCGCTCCGAATTTGCTTTGTTCCAGTGGACTTTTGAGCTTGTTTTCTGTGCGTTATCTTCATGTTTCATAGATCAGATATGATTCAGATGGAGCATATACATACAGTTATAAAACGAGGGGGTGTAAAAGACTTACAATCAATACATGCATGAGAATATTTATTTTTACTTGCATTTCTAGTATCTTATTGGATATAGAATTATACAGCCAATGCCTACAGTTTTTATCCAGATAACACTAATGACAAGAAAGTCGGGACAAATTAGTATGTAGAAAAATGTGAAGTGTGAAATAGCTATTGATTCATAAGAAATAACAGTATGTTCGCTGCTCGCTGAAATGACCTCTGAGAAATGAGAAGAAAGCATAAGTGAACCTGGACTGTTTTGTTTCATGTCAGTTTAAACACAAAGTGACGTCTGACTGTATTCATTTCTGTAATTATCCAATATCACGTTTCCTTTATAACATATTGGTATTGAGTTCTGTCTACTGAAATTATACCAAAGAAAAGAGTGTAAGAAAAGGTGAAGACCCAAACTAGTATAATACATGTACAATAAAGGAGCAAATAAGTATAGTACATGTATAGTGAAGGGGCAAATAAGTATAGTACATGTATAGTGAAGGGGTAAATAAATATACAAACTACTATACAAAAGAGGAAAAGAAAAATTGAGAAGAGAAATCCAGATAAAAATTTAAGGAGTCAATGGGGTTCTTAATTGCATTTAATTATCAATACAAAAAAAAAATTACATTATATGATTCTCAAAGCAAAAAATCATGTTTAGCCGTGAATGTCATTTGAAGTAAAAGAACGGGGGGTTGATTGGAATGAAATAGGTAAAGATAATGATCATTGATCGATCTCTAAAATCTTAGTACAAAGCGAAACAAATCTGTGAACAGGGCATAAAACATGGACTCCTGGAAATTCCAGAGGTGGGATCAGGTGCGTAGTAGGAGTAAGAATCCCTGTAGTACAATGGTATGTTATATTAGACTACATTGTCCGGAAATAAGACATCGGAAGTAGCAGTCCTTAGGCTATCTAAAATCCGATGAAATTAGATAATATATTAGAGTTAATGGAGGTAATTTTAAAAATAAGAACACATATGTTGAGTATGAAGAGTTTATGTAAGTATACTTTACAGTTCTTTGTGTCTTATACTGAGGCTCTTACCTGGGTTATGTTCAGAAAACATGATATACGTAGCAGTCAGCATCTAATTAAATATGCATCATATAAGTTAAGAAAATGTGCAATAAAACATTAAAAAAATCTTATACATTCATAGTGACAACTACACGGGGGGGGGGGGGGGGATCAAAAAGTTCGCGAACTATCTCTATGAAACATATGGAGATAACGAACAGTATACAAGCTCAAAAGTCCATTAAACAATACAAAATAGGAGCAGAGCAAACACGGACCTCTAAACATCAGAGGTGGGATCAGGTGCCATGGAGGAGTGAGCATCCCCTGCCGACCGGTCACACCCGCCGTGTGCTATATATACAATACCACAATTCTGATCAGAATGAAATTTGGCACACATACAGTCATACACATGTTCTATAAATAACAGATGTTATGTAATGTTTTTCACCATGTGTGACGTTGCAATGTGAAAATGACGTCAATATGTAGGTGACCTGTCACAAAAATGATTGACTCAGTCGTACTCGAGCAACGAACGACTGTAAAGTTTAACTTGTATGTTGGAGATTCCTTTGCAGTAGCATATAATAATTTGTACAAGGTTTATGAAGACAAAAGACTTACCAGAAGTTCAATCATTAATTGGATTGATTGTTTGAAGGAGGGGAGATGGTTAAAAATGATGTTTGTTCTGTTGCCCAGTGAAAGCAAGCTGGGGAAGAGATGTGTCCTTAGTTGAGCAATTTGCAAATGAAAGATCGCCAAGTTACAGTTAGAAAAATAGTTGAATAACATAATTATTAAATCCTTACAATATCGTTTACTTTAGACTTTAAACATATCAGATATGATAAAAAGAAGGCGCCCATACTTTATCCACATTGGATAAACGACGCTCACAAGA